CTACCCCGAGCATGACTGAGGGTAGCAACCCAACCCCCTGATCTGCCCTGCTCTGTGTGTACAGGGGGCAGTTCCCCAACTCCCCCATCGGCCCTATTCTGTGCATGACATGGGGGAGCTCCCCAAACCCTTGATGGGCCCTGCTCTATGCGTTACAGGGGGCAGTGCCCCAACTCCCCAATAAGCCCTTCTCTGAGCCCGACCAGGTGCTGCACCTAGGGATTGGGCCTGCCCTCTGCCACCCAGGAGCAGGCCTAAGCCAGCAGGTCGTTATCTCCCAAGGGGTCCCAGACTGCTAGAGGGCACAAGCCGGGCTGAGGAACCCTCCGTCCCCCCGAGTGCACAAATTTTTGTGCACCGGGCCTCTAGTTAGAAATAAAAATATTACTGAATTTATGAAAGCCCCCAATTGAGTATAGTAACCAATGTGATTAGGATACAAAGAATTTATAAGTTAGTTGGAGTAAAATTCACTTGCTCAAATCAAAAGCACACAATACTTTCTCCTTAATTTCTATACTATACTTTCTGTGTATTTTATAAGATTTAAAAGTATTCTTTGCAGGAATTTTTATAATTTTTGCTAATACCTAGAAAATTTGTAAATGTATTGCTATTTTGTTGTTTATGGTATTTCTATCTGGTTATTGTTGGTATAAACAAATTCTATTGATTTCTATAGATTGATCTTATATTGAACAACTTTATGATAACTTCTGTTAATTCTTATAACTTATTAATTCTATTATTTCTTGGTAGTTGATTACATTATCTGCATATAATAGCGGATAATAGACATTTTGTAACTTTCCTTTCAATCTTACCACTCATTTATTTCTTTTTCTTTCCTTATATTATTGGCTAGGATCTAAGAGTTCAGTTATTAAACAGTAGTGATAATAATGAACATCAAACTACCCTCTCTTCCCTATTTTAAGGGAATGCATCTAAAGTTTCTCCATTAAGTATAATATTGACTATAGGTGCTTTTTCCATAAACTGTGGCACATTTAGGAAGTTCCCTTCTTTTCTTAATCTTATGAATATGTTTTGGTCATTATCAAATTCAGTCTCTTCAACTATTGAAATAATTTTCTGACTTTTTCTTTCAGTCTAATGATATAAATTTCTTAATAAATTTGCTAATGATAAACTATTAGTCTTTCTTAGAGTAAATCATACTTAATCATAATGTATTTTAAATATAATATTGAATTTAGAAAGTTAATACTTTATTTAGAAATTTGAAATTATTTTTACAAGTAAAATGAGTCTATACTTCTCTCTTTTTAAGTATTCTAATGTGGTTTAGGAATCAACAGACAATTACACTGAGTGGTCACATTTCAGGTTATGGCTGAATAAAGAGGTCAGCAAATCTTTTCTCCAAAAGGCAACTATAAATCTAAACAAATTGAACAAAACAATCATTATTACCACTCTGGAAACTGAAGAGCAGCAGCCTGTGTCCATCTGACAAGCGTTTATGCTTGAAAAACTGCTAACCTTTGGATTAGAACAGTGGGAGTCTGCAGTGCTCTTGCTTAAGGACTACGTCTTACCTCTGTTGCTTCCTTGTTGCGGAGGATCTACCGAAGCAGGGTAGGATGTGGGGGTCAGCACTGCCATTGTTGAAAGCAGCTTACCTAATTTTGGGGAGTAGGCTACA